GGGGCGCGAATGTGGAACAATTTGCGCGGGATCGTGGCTTCGTGGGCGCAAGCTTGGCCTAATTTGCAAGGGATCGTGGCCTCGGGGGCGCGAGCGTGGTGTAACTTACAAGGGATCGCGGCCTCGGGGGCGCAAGTTTGGTGTAATTTACAAAGATGGTGGCCCCAGGGGCGCGAATGTAGTATAATTTACGGGAGATCGTGGCCTCGGGGGCGCGAACATGATTTATTTTACATGGGATGGTGGATTCGGGGACGCCAATGTGGCGCAATGTAAGGGAGATCGTGGCCTGGAGAGCGCGAATACAATTGAATTTGCAAGGATTATGGCGTCGGGAGCGCGAATCTCCTGTATTTTTATGTGTCCCACGGCCCCGCAGGAATTCAGAGCACGCGACTCGGGGATGGTAGCCGGACGCTTTCCAGCTCCCCCCCTTCGCGCGGACTTCAACAAACAATTTACAGTAGAAAGCAGAAAGCAGGGTTGTAACACTGGAGACTGGAAACTGCAGCTGGTGCAGGGCACTGCAAGCCCGATCCTCGCAGCCTGATGGCCCCGCAGGGGGGCCGGCGGATCATCAGGGCTGTGTACGGCGGCGCCTTGGCAGCCTTGAGGGCACCCCGTACAGATTGGCGCGCCCGCGCCAGCAGTCTATGCGCGCATGCGGCCCTGGCGCTTCGCGCGACCTCCTAAGAAGACGTTGAAGTCGAGAGCGATCATAATTTTCATCTTCATTCGCATCTTCACCTTAACGTTCATATTCATATTAATATTCATCTTCGGTTGCATCTTCACAGATTCGTCATCAACTTAACGAAACCCTGAGAGCCCATGCATCTACTCGAGGCCAACACAAAACCGTTAAGAACTCGCATGCATAAGAATTACAACATCCACCTTCCACACCTTCTACATGGAAGATATGGAGGACGGAGGTCGCGGGTCCTCCAGACGCTATTGTTTTCCATCGATACATGAGCAGAGCTTACCTCCCGCGCTTGGCTCAAAGTTGCGATCTCATTCGCGCCGCTGCTCCTGGTGCTCCTGGGCATCTTACTGATATTGCGCTGGGCGCCTGTGTTCCATGCTCCAGGGGAGGGGGGCATGGGGAGGGGGGTCCAGCGTTCCTGGCATTCCCAGGAGCGCCTTCACAGAGCCCCGATACTCTTCGGAGAGCCCCGAGGCCGAGCAGCAAGGCTTCAAGACGGCGCCAGAGCCCTCCTGCGCCCCGTGCGCAAGCCCTGCACGCGTGCCAGCTCGACAGCCCATCATGCTTTATAGTGCCCCGCCCTGCCCGCCCCAGGGTGTCCGCCAGAGTGTCCGCGCCCCGCCCTGCCCGACCCCCGCGCGGGCCTGCTGCCCGACCCTGGCCCGGCCGCCCGTGCCTCCCCCGCTGGGGCCCGCGGCCCTGATCCATCGGGCGGCCAGTGATCGACGAGGTGTGGCTCACAGGGGACCTCTTGGGATCATCTCAGAGTCCACCTGGGGCGGCTGGAGGCCAGAGAAAGAGGGGTAAGAAGAGGAGGAGGAGGAGGAGAAAACGGGGCGCAAGGGGTGGAGGATATCAAGAAGGTGAAAACAGGAGCGACCGCCAAAACGCCGCCGTGGTGCTGCCCGCGGCGGACACGCTGGCGTCGCCGACGATGGGTTGGTGCCGCCTCGGCACTGCGGTGTCGAGGGCGCGGGCGCCCAAGGTGGTTGTCCTCAGGGGGGCGGTTTCGGGCCTTGGGTGCCGCGTGCGATTGGCCGCGGCATGTAGCCCACCGCACAGTGCGTGGAGGAACGTCGGGAACCACCGTCGGTGCCCACGTCATCTCGTCATATCGTCGTTTGCGTTCTCCGCTTCCTCCTGCCAATCGCTCATCGTCGCTCGCGCTCCCTGCGCTGGGAGTTTCCGGTCTGCTTTGAGAGTCGCATCTTCCAACGGGCAGGGCACGCAGGACATAGATCTGTATGTATGTATATATATATATATGTATACACATATATACATATGTGTGTATATACACACGTAGGAATGGAACGCCGATGACGAAGGGAAGGGGAGGGAGGGGAACAAACACCTGGAGGAAAGAAGACGAGGAGGAGGAATAGGAGGAGGAGGAGGAGGAGGAGGAGGAGGAGGGGCGACGGGGAGGAGTGATCAGTGTGGGTGAGGAGGAGGAGGAGGAGCAGGAGGACGAGGAGGAGGGGAAGCAGTAGAGGACTTCATGATTGAAGAGGATGGGGGAGCTGAGCAGGAGGGGGGAGGGGAGGGGGAGGAGAAGGATGACGAGGAGAACAGGGAGGAAGGACAGAGAAGACAGAAGTTCTCAATTCTTCACACATGTCCAGCTGGCCACGGCAGGTCCTCCACCGACCCAGCGCAACATGCTGAGAGGTGGTTATTCGGCGGAGGGCGCTGGAGGTCCTCACGTGTGACACCTCGGGCCTTTTCTGTTCACTTGGGAGCGTTCAAGGTACCTCTCGGGGGGCCTGTTGGGGCTTTTCTGCAGCGTATCGTGGGCGCCCCGGACGATTTTGGATACCCCTTGGGCGGTTTGAAGGCGCTCTTGAACTTCCCAGGCGCCTTTCCGGAGTCCGTCTCGGGACAGCTGGTTTTCTCTCTCTCTCTCTCTCTTTCTCTTCGTTTGTTGGGATTCTCTCTCTCTCTCTCTCTCCCCCTTCTATGGTCGGAGCTGAGCTGCGCCCACGTTAGTTCGCTTGAGTATTTGGCCCGTCGTGGCTCTTCGCTCCGATTCCTGCACCGTGCAAGACAAGCACGTACCCAACCGAGCAGAGTTGGAGGCGTAAGCTCCTCCTCCTTTCGGGGATGGACAGACCTCCTACCCTGTCACGTCGATTAAGGAATTCGCTGTTTTCAGTTCGCGAGAGGGCGTCGCGGCCGTCATTTTTGCGGGTCCAGGTCCGTCGGTTCCGGTCCCAGGTCGTTTTCACTAAGGGGAGGTCTACTAAAGGGAGGTTTGTCCACCGCCGATCCCTCTCCCCCTCCTCCGACTGGACGCGCTCGGAGGAGCAGGAGGAGGCAGGGACGGGCCGGTCAAGAGGAGACGGGAGAGGCGCGGGAGGAGGCCGCTCCGCCCGCGTCGACGGCCGGCGGCCCAGGATGGATCGCCAGTCTTGAAATTTCGGCACGCACAAGCCCAACATCAGTTCGTCCTCCTCCTCCTCCTCCTCCTCCCCCTCCTCCTCCTCCCTCCTCCCTCCTCGCTCCTCTCTCCACCCTTCCTCCCTCTTCCCTCCTCCTCTTTTTCCTCCACCGCCTTCTCCTCCTCCTCCACACGGACGACAGAATGCCCAACATCAGTTCTTGTTCATTTTGAACAGGACTCGCTGTCCACGCCGCCGCGGCCTGTGTCAGTTCGAGATAGCAGGCCGTCTGCCCAACAGCGGCCGCTGTTGGTTTGAGACAACATTTGCTGTTTGGCATTGTGCCCATTTTTTCCGTACCCATTTCGGGCGTCCAAATGACAGAAACACAGGCGATCAATGAACGGGGGTGGTCCAACTAGTACTTCCCCTTTAGAGCCCTTGAAGTCGCCCCTTAGACCCCTCCTGGAGCGCTCGTGGGTGCTCTTTGGGCCGTCTTATGACCCTCTTGGGCTCCTCTTAGGGCTCTCCTGGGTCTTCTTGGAGCCATCTTGAGACCTCGCAGAGCCGTTGAACGCGAAAAGTTGAGAAGGCAAGACAAACACAGATTTCCTTATGTTTTTGGATTGGTTTGGGTTTTTGGTGGCTTCCTAGGAGGCTCCGTGGCAAGTTGAAGCCGTCTTCGACGGTCTTGGGGCCTTCTCGGAGCATGTTTGAAGCCATCTTGAAGGCGATCTTGGAGGCGATCTTCGGCTTTCTGAGGCCCTCTTGGCGCCATCTTGGGCCATTTTGGATGCTCCAAAGGGTCGCGAGCCCTTCCGTCCATGTCCAGGGGGAGTGGGTTGAGGGAGGGATAAACCTGTCCCGAAGGAGAAGAAGGGGATTCGAAGAAGACCCCCCTAAACCACTCACGCCCTACATTCGAGGAAGAAACACGGGGACCATGACCATGATGTCGCGGGATCTTATCGATGCCGGTCTTGGTCATGGTCCATGTCGGCCGTCGCCGATTGGCAAGGGTGACCTACGAAATGACGCTGACCAAGATCGACGGTGACCAAGATCATCGACACAACGTTTCCATGTCCAATTTTGGTCATGGTCCCCGTTTTCTTCCCCTCCCTACACGGCTGGTGGGATTATCCAGGCTGCCCAATTGGGGTCGAAGCAGATGGGCGGTGGCTCGCGCCTTAACGATGATGCATCGGCGATTGGGCTCGATTCTGAATTATACTGTTAAGTCTGGCATGTCCCCACGGGAGGAACATTCAAGACTAACAACAACTATTATGGGGACGAGTTTTCGTGTACGTCTGACTATTGTTGTTTATTGTTTGAGTATGTTTTATGTTTCTTCCAAAACCCGCCTGTTGGAGGACATGCCCGACCTAATTCGATTTGTCCATGCCAACGTCGCCGATGAACCGCCGATGCGTCGCCGACGCTTCGCCGATGCAACGGCGAGGCGGCGCGATCCTCACACCCCATCTACTCGGACCCCACTTGGGCGGCCTCCAAAGAGGGCTCCGAGGCCGGAGCAGACGGGGTCGGAGGAACGCGGCGCATCGCGATGCATCGCCGATGCGGCGCAGTCTGGCCCGATTCTCCGCATCCTGGCATCATGGATGCATCGCCGATGCGCTGCGACCCTCCGACACCGCCTGCTCTGGCAGCGCTGGACCTAGACGCTGATTTACTGGACTTCGGCTGTGTTTCTTTTTCGTGCTGGCAGGGAGGAGGCACGGGAGAGCAGCAGAACGGAAAGCAAAAAGAATTCAACACTGAAAAAACAACGTTTAGGTCCAGCCCTGCCTGTGCTGCCCGCAGAACGCGCGAACGGGGCCCAATGCGTGGCAGAGGAGGGCGTTGGTCGCACGGCGTTCTCTCCTGCCGTGCGCGGGCGGCGCCAGGTCGGGGCGCCAACCGTGCCGGACGCCGTGGACGCGTGAAGGCCGCAGGGGGCGGGCCCCTCGGCGCCCCAGGGTCGAGGAGCCCCGATCAGCTTCGCGCAGAGGGGGGAGGGGGGGGGAGGGCTTCCGAGAAGCACCCCGGCTTCGTAGAAGGCGCGGCCTGTATCTAGATCACCTGGCGCGTTCCACTGCTCGCAAAGTGCCCACTCGCAAATGTCCGGAACAAACATGTCTTCCTCTATGCACGGTATCGCACATCCCCCACGGCAGATCCAGGCCATTTGCGAGTAGCTACTCTGCGAGTAGCGGAACGCGTTCGTCCACTTTAGATGTAAGGCCGGCGCCTTCTAAGAAGCAGCCGCCTTCTAAAGAAGCCTTCCCCCCTCCCTCCACCCCCTTTTTGCGCGCCGCCAGCTCGAGGTCGGGGTTCTGCGGTCTCTTGAGGTCGGCCATGTTCATCCTCTGGGGGGCCATTCCTCAGGAGTGAAAAAACACAGACACAATTAATCCTCGATTCCCGAGAAAATATGGGAAAATATGGGAAGTGGGGGCCCAGTGGGGGGAAGACAGAAACCCAGAAAATATGGGAAAATATAGGGGGATCTTTTCATTCGTGTGCATTTATGTGTGTGTGTGTGTGTCCCAGGGCACCTTCAATGTTCATCCTCTGGGGGGCCATTTCTGGTCTCCGGGACCGTCAGAAAACGGCCTGGAAGGACCAGCCAGTCCACGGGGCCGAGGTCTAGAGGTTCAAGGTCGCGCGTTCGGGTAAGCAGTCAGGGCGTTGGAAGTCTGAGATGTCTGCGTGTGCGAGCCTCCTCAGAGTGCCCCCGTCCCCTGTGCAGCGCTTCAGCTCCATGGGGTCGTGAGCCCAACCAAATTAGGCGCAACTCTCACGACTCGTGCCCTGCTGCAGCCGCCCCGCGTGCAGTAGCAAAGCCGTTGTTTCTTTGGCCTGAATGGGGCACTGGCGGAAGTCAGGGAAGGGAGATCGCGAAGGTGTCAGGAGGCCGTACGACGAATGCGAAAGGAATCACCCAAGTTTGCGAGGCCACGCGCGGGTGCGCGAAGATAACTTCACTTCTCATTTCGCACCTCGCGGTCTGTCCTAGCCCGTTAGGGACTGCAGTCGCCGCTCGCTGCCCTTCGCCCGCCTTCGATGCCCCTCGCTGCCCGTACTGGTTCCGCGGTCGCCTTCGCTCGCTGCCCTTCGTGGCCCCGTTGCTACCCTCAGTGGCCCCGTCGCTGCCCATTGGTGGCCCCGCATTATATGCCCTTCGTGGCCCCCGCTTGCAGTAGCCCGTCGTGGCCCCATACGCATGCCCTTCGTAGCCCCGCTGTCGCCCTTCGTGGCCCCCTCGCTGCCCTTCGTGGCCCCTTTGCTGCCCTCAGTGGCCCCGCTGTCCCCCTCTGTGGCCCCATATACGAGTGCCCTTCGTGGCCCCCGCTCGTTCGCGCCCGTCGTGGCCCCATATGCATGCCCTTCGTGGCCCCGCTGTCGCCCTTCGCGGCCCCCTCTTTGCCCTTCGTGGCCCCGTTTCTGTCCTCAGCGGCCCCGTCGCTGCTCCTCCTCTTCCTCCTCATCCTCCTCCTTGCCGGGGCCCGGCTTGCCGGTGTTTGAGACGCGCGTGCTCCACTGGCCCAGGTTTTTCTGCAGGCTTCGAATGAAGGCCTCCCTCGACGAGGCCCCTGGGGCGTTCCCACAGGTTTTCGGAGCCTCTGGAACTGCTCGGTGGTCGTCGGGGGCCTTCCAATCCCCCCGCGCTTTGTTTCCGCGCCAGTCTCCGCTCGCATCCACTTGCCCCCACTTTCCAACGTTCTTTTTCCAGTCTTCTCTACTCTTTCCCTTTATCTTCCTTTCGCTCGCACTCCATTGTGCTATTCCTCAGTTCTTCGCATCCCGCCCGCCCCCCCCCAGGCCACCCCATCCCACCCCAACAATCTCCACCCTTCCCCGATTGCAGTCCGTTTTTCCCCAAATTATCCCCAGTCCATCCTCCGGATTCCCCGCGCGCCCTCCGCCCCCCCGCGCCCCCCCCGGTTTTTTTCTCCACTCTTCGCCGCTCCTCTTCCTGATGCCCTACGCTTGTCCACTCCATCCCAATCCACCCCGCATCCCCGCGCCCCTCTCGACGCGGCGGCAGTTTTCATTATCCCTCCGACCCTTTCTCCCAACTTCCCGTTTTTTTTTTTTTTTCTCGCAGGGTGCCGCGAAATTTGTTTCTGACGCCAGTTCGCAGCTGCGCGCCCCCCCGCGGGGGTGTCCACGATCTGTTATTTCAAGGGGGCGGTGCGTGGCGCTGTTTATGTCGCGACCCATGGTGAAACTTATCGTTAGCCTGTGTTGGAGTGGCCGACGCAGGCCATGGCACGAGCTGAACCGCCGCTCGCAGCGCAAATCATCGCCCTCTCCCCTTCTTGCCCCCCCCTTCTACTCCGAACCCTTCGTCCTCAGTCCCCCCCGTTACCAGTTGCTCTTCGTTGTTCAAGGGTTTCGCCAACCACGCGTGGCAGGGAACGAATATACCCCCCAAAACGGGGCACGATCGAAGACGAAAAGGGCGGGCGTCCAAGGCTTGGGATATGCATATCGAATGACACGCGAGCAGGTGAGAGCGAACAATATTAAGACGATTGTTGTTGTTGTGGTTGTTGTTGTTTGTGTTGTTGTTGTTGATTGTTGTCGTCGTTCCACTCGCGACCCACCCAGCGACCCGCCCCGCGACCCACCCCGCGACTAACCCCGCGACCCACCGGCGATCCAACCTGCGACCCACCCCGCAACCCACCTCGCGACCCCCCCCCGCGACCCACCCGCGACCCACCCGCGACCCGCCCGCGACCACCCCGCGACCCACTCGCGACCCACTTGCGACCCATCCGCGACCCACCCCGCGACCCTCCCGCGACCCACCCGCGACCCACCCGCGACCCACCAGCGACCCACCCGCGACCCACCCGCGACCCACCCGCGACCCATTTGCGACCCTCCAGCGACCCACCCTCGACCTATTCACATTGGCTTAACGGAACAAGCGGCGCCTGCGGCGGGGTCGTTGCATAATTTGTGAAACTGTGGCGCCTGCGGCGGGATTATGATGAGACTTGCAAGTTGCCAACGTCCCCACCGCCCTCACTCTTATCCGCATTTGCGGGGTGCTACGTACATACCTGTATGAATGCATATTATTGAACATGTCAACCATATGCGGAAGAAATCAAAGGCGTGCTCGCGCTTTGCAAACTCAATTTGGTTCACATCGGTGTGAAGTTCGAGCCGAATGCAGCAATGTCAATATCAGCCGATTGGCTTTTGCTTTGAACCGTTATATCAACCGTATTATTTGCACCACCGCTGCGTCTGTAGTCCCGCGACTTGGCTGGAATCCGACTAGATGATTTCGCGTGTGTTTTTCGGTTCCGCCTTGAAGTAGTAGCCGGTGTGTCATAGATGTGAACGTGTTGTACCCCTCGCGAGCAGAGCTATAGGGCGGCTGTTGCTCGGGAGGGGCATGCCGCCCTTCTTGAAAACTAACATCACGTTTGGTTTTTTCCATGCTTCAGATAAGCCTGTCTGTTTCCAACATTGAACACAATTGTATCAATGCGCTGCAAGTGTTATCGTCTTTGGTCACGACTTTCAAGAACCCCGGAAGGATATGATCGGGCCCTGGTGCTTTACATTATTCATTATACCAAAGGCCGCCCGCTGTTACAGCCCACGTTCAGGGTCGGTCCTAATACATCTTCTGATGCCCGCTTATGCTTAGGGAAACCCATTTGTTATTGCAGTTGTTCGGAATAGTCTGCCCAGGCGTCAGGTCGTGCAGCGGTGTTCTCGAGATGGCCATCCAACATATTCCCCACCGCGTCCTAACATATTATTGTTCACCCATTGTCGTTTGTATTTTCACTCAGTTCCCGATGTGATTCGTTCATGAAGTGTTCATGTTGTTAGTCTTGGATCTGGCGAAAACGATTCCTGTCGTCATCCAGGTCAGATGTTGCCAGGGGTATCCACAGGCGCATCGCTGTAGCAAAGCGTGTTGATAAAGTTTCTGCGGCCGTCGCATCTACGAATTCCAAGTTTCTCGCCATGCTGTCAAGAATTCGACTTCCATCTGGTGGTTCCCACGACTCGTAAACTTGTGTAGTGCATGTTCTTTCTTCAGCGGGGTTCGCCAAAACAGAAGTATCCTTCTTGGGCCCGTATGCACAGGCCGTCGAGGAGAAAGTGAGGGGCAGGTCGACACCAAGCAAGTGGTGTTGGTTCCTGAGAGCTGCTTCACGAAAGACTTCGCATCTTGTTACCAAAATGGAGCAACCATTGATGACAACATACAAGATCTATGTGTGCAAGCCTGTCCATCGATACCGCCTCAGTCGGACATGCCATGAGATCCTGGTAGGTTGCGAATTGTTTGTTGGGAAGGTCGAACAACGTGTTCGCAATGATAGTGTTTGTGGCGGCGCAACCCTCGAATAATACGTCCTTGCTCGTAACAACTGTCGGAGTATGTTTCGGGGGAGGCGTGAGGAACGCATATTGGGGAGACCTTACGGCCAGTGCCGCCGAACCTGAAGGGGGACGACGACCACGTCCGCGACGTCTGTGGCGACGACGACGCTGGCGTGGGGCATGGTCCCCAGTGATGCTTCGTAGGGGTCTCTTCGGAGCGCGCTCATAGGCATCTTGGGGGCAGTTTTGGGGCCTCTTAGGAGCATCCTGGGGGCCTCTTGGAAGCCTTTTGGGAGTTCCTTCGGGCTTCCTGGGGGCCTCTTTGTGCGTCCTGGGGGCTTCTTGGGGCCGAGGGCTCGACATTTTCGTTCGGGCTCCCGTGTGGGCACCCTCTTGGAGCCGTTTGGGTGACCTCTTGGGAGCAGTGCGAAAGCTTTTGGAGGGGGCTGATCCGACTGTTAATTGATACCGGCGAACACCGTGTCCTTGTGTTCCTTGCACCACTGGCATTTGTCCATGTTGGCCTTGTTCCACCACCGATCACCCGTGGACGACGACCGGCGGTGCTTACAGTACCAAGGCTTCGCCCTAGCAGCCCGTTGACGCTTGTGCCCGCTCTGGACTTGACCCTAACGGAACGCCTGGGTGGCGGCCCCATGAGCCGACGATAGTCAAGTGAGCGTTTCGGCAGCTGCCGTCCGTGGGGCTGACCAAGGACAGCTGGGCCTGGGCCGCCTAGGCAGGCTGACGCAGCGTGCGAGAAATGGAGCGCCGTGGGGGCCCTCGATCGAGCCTGCCCCCTCGGCTGCGTGCAAGCCCCAACGCCGGGAGCCACTTTGGAACTCGAGCCAAAATAGATGGCTACGGACCGAGCCCTAGAAAGGTCGAGTGCCGACCTCCAGGGCCCCGAGGAGCAGCGACACACCAGGCGCGCATTGCAGGCCGACGATGAGGTGCAGGTGGTGGTGCTGCTGCTTGTTTGGCATCCTAAGGAGGGCTCGGCCAGCAGCGCGGCCAGCAGGTTCGGCGGTGTGGCGATGGGCATCGCTGCCGCCGCGGCAGGTGTGACCCACCCGCCCTGCGGGCACCGCGCGGCGACGATCGCGCAGCGGTGGCTGCGCGTGCAGAAGATGGAGCAGCGGCACCTCCTGCGGCCGAGTTGCAAACGCACGGCAATCCATGGATGGAGCTGGGCCCAGCGCTGGCACGGGCGGCCGATGCCGCGACGGCCAGGCGCCACGCTGGGCGACGCGCCGCTGCTGAGCTCGACGAGCCACTGCCGCCGGCGGAGCTCGCCAAGACGCAGAGCCCCCGCGCGGCCCGCGCCCCCAGCGCAGCTCCCGAGCCTGGCCGCCCTGGCAGGCCGCGTCGCCACCCGCGCAGCAAACGCCCGGCCTGCTGCTGGAGCGGCAGCCGCTGGCACGGACCACGCAGACAAGCGGGCGGTTCCGCCAGCGGACAGCAGGTCGCAGGACCAGCCCGCAGCCTCTCCAGCCGACGTGGCGTCCGAGGAGGCCGCAGCGCCGCCGCTAGCCGTCGGCCCGAGGGTGTTCGACGAGGGTGCGCAGGGGCTGCGACGGCGGTGCCGAGGCGCCCGAGCACGGCGACGAGGCGCCCGAAAGCAACGCCGCGTGTTCTTTGTCCGCCAACCGCCGTCCGCCGTCGCCGCGCCCCAGGGAGAGGTAATCGAGGGCGGGGAGGTCGCCGTCGCCGCTTTTGAGCTGACTTTCGGCCGCTGCCACGCGCCAGGGTCAGAGATCGGTCTTGTGACGGGCTGGCGCTGTGGGGCCTGCACGCCTCGTGCGGCCAGGCAGCTCAAGGATACGTGCAGCACAACACACAGAACACAGCACACACACACACACACACACACCTTACACCACGCGCACACAACCTGCACACGTGTTTGTATGCGCTTGGGCACGCACGTGCCATTCGTATATTGAGTTGGAATTATGATGAGGAGTAACAAGAGGATGATTATGAGAAGGGGAAATATGAGGCTGACGAGAGGAAGAGGGAGGGGAGGGGAGGATCGTGTGGGAGGACGAGAGGGGGACGACGGAGCAACAGCAGCGCGACTCCCGGCGAGGGGCGGCGCTGGCGAGCGGTATCCTGCTGGTCTCGCGGCGCCGCGCCGGCCTGAGGCAGACGCGCGGCGCCCCCGCGTCGGCGCGCTCGGGCCTCATGCTCGGAAATTCGGTTCTGGGGACGGCCAAACTGATCTGGCCCTCCCTCCTCCTCCACCCTGCCCCTTGTCTTCCCCCCTCTTCGTTTTCCCCTCTCCTCTTCCTCCCCTCTCCCCTCCTCGTCCTCCTACTTGTTTCAACCGCCTCCTGCGCCTACCCATCCCCCGTCATCGTCTTGCCCCGCGTCTCCCCCCTCCTGTTCATCATTGCTTCTTCTGGAGAGGAAGGCCCCTCGTTTTTGTTTCTCCTCCCTCCCTCCTCCTGTGTAATCCCCAGAAGAGGGAAAATGCGCACCACCACGAGGGATCCCCGTGCCAATACTGGCCACATCCTGGCCATATCTTGGTGCATATGGCCTCCCAGTCTGGTTGGTCGACGATGTTTGGAACTCACCCAGTTCTGGCAACTTATCCTCCAAGTCGTCCCATTTCCCTTCCTTTTTCCTCATCCCCACCTCTTCTTCCGCCTTTCCCCTCTGTATCGTTACACTCCTCCTCCCCCTCTTCTTCCCTCCCCATTCCCATTCTTCCCTCCCCTTGCACTTCCTCCTCCCCCTCGGTGTCCGTCTCACCCTCCTATGCCCCATCCTGCCTCCCCCTCTTCCGCCCCTCCTTCCTTGTTTCTGGAGCTGGCCGAATGGACCTGGCTCCTTTTTTCGTAGTCGCTTGTCAGCTTAGGACTCCTAGGACTTGTGTTCACCCTGTCTTCCCTGCTGCGCGCGCGAGCGCTTTGATGAACGCCTCCTCCTCCTCCTTTCTTCATATCCTCATCATCATCATCATCATCATCATCATCATCATCATCATCATCATCATCATCATCATGGCGTTCCTTCTATCGAAAGTCGTGCGCCAGTGTGTCCGTTGGCGCAAGTATCAGACCTCCCTGAGGCCGGCGGGCCCACCCCACCGACGGCTACCCCAAAAGGGCCTGTCACGCCGAAGGGGGACTCCACCCCAACGACGGCTACCCCAAGGGCCTGTCATTCGGAAGGGGGACCCTACCTCAACGACGGCTACCCAGAAGGGCCTGTCACAACGAAGGGGGAGTAAGTGGTATTACCCCTGAGAAGGGGGGCCGGCCCATCAGAGTCACCGCGCGGTACCGGCCCTCAGGAGGCCGAACTTACGCGGGGGGCTTGACCTTCAGCTCCACCCATGGAGCCTTGCGGACCGTTCGTGAGGGGCCCTGGGTTCCATGAGGCAGGCTGTAGAGGGTGTACGCCTTCCGCCAACGGCAGGGGGGGGGGGGGGGGCATCGTCCCGATCCTTGGGTCAGCGCGGCCCTGCAGGGCCAGGTCTCTGAGACTACAACCTCCACTCTCCACCCTTCCCTTTGTTTCTGGCTAACAAGCCGCAGAAGTTTGACAGCTGCCCCTCGGGCAGCGGAACGGCAAGCTCGCCGAACCAAAGGGAGGAGTGCGAGGCCGCCAACTTGCTTTTTTCGAAGGATGCACACACAAGGCTACATCGGGCTCCTTATCGCAAGCCCTTAGTACCTTATGCTGAGCTTTGACACGCGCCGCCCGCCAGGCGGCAAATACACTTCCAAATTGTTGACGCTTCGCGTATCCCCACCAGCCCATCCAGAAACGATGCTCAGGGGAGTTGAGGTGATCAGGGAAGTCGGGGAGCATGCAGAATAACAAAGGGCGGGGGAAGCTGTCACAGACCCCGAGAGGGGGAGGATGGAAGAGGAGTCGTCGTCGTCGTCGTCGTCGGAGGAGGAGGAGGAGGAGGAGGGGGAAGAGGAGGAGGAGGAGGAGGAGGAGGAGGACGGAGAAGGAGGAAGAATCGGAGGAGGAGGAGGAGGAGGGGAAGGAGCTTCTTGGGGGTCTTTTGAGGGCCTCTTGGAGGGCTTTTTGGGCGCCTTGGGGCATCTTGGGCGCCTCTTGGGACCCTCTTGAGGCGCTCTGGGGAGCCTTCGGGGCGCTTTTGGGGCCATCTTGGAGGGAGTCGATCAAACAAGAGGGGGGGTTTAATTAGCGTCCCCCCTCGGAAGCCCCTAAAATCGCCTCTTGGACCCCTCTTGGAACGCTCTTGGAGTGCTCTTGGGCGCTCTTGGGGCCGTCTTGGGGCTCTTTTGGGGCTCTCTTGGGGCCCTCTTGGGCCATCTTGGAGCCATCTCCAGGCCTCGGATGGCCATCGGAAGCGAAAAGGCGAGAAAGCAAAAATCATTGATTTTCCTTAGGTTTTGGGACGATTTTGGCCTCTTCGGGGCCTCCTTGGGGAGCTGTTTGGCCACTTGGAGTTATCTTGGGGCCGTCTTTGGGCTTCTTGGAACCATCTTAGGAGCCATCGTGAGCGATCTTGCGCTATCTTGAGCCATCTTGGAGCTCATCTTGGGTTCTCTGAGGCGCTCTTGGAGCCGTCTTGGGCCATCTTGGACGCTCTAACTACCCGCGGCCCCCCCCGTCCAGGTCCAGGGGAGGGGGTAGGGGGAGGGGTAAACCCCTCCCCAAGGGGGAAGAGGGAGGGGTGGAAGAGGATCTGCTCTAGACCACCTACGCCCAGAGGGCTGGTGGGATTCCCCGACTTGGCCAGCAAGCCGTTGTTTGGACCTGTTCCCACTCTGGATAGCATCCAGACCTTGTGGGTTACGGATGTATGTTGTTGATTGCCCGGGCTTTGAGCGCCGACCGCCGAAGCTGGACGTATTGCTGACCGTGCGGCGCGCGTGCCAGGCCTCGGTCCAGCATTGTCAGCTCAGCACGGGCTGTCCGCCCTGCTGCCGCCGCCCTCGTCGGCACCTCTGATGGCTCTCGCGCCAGTGCCGCCCCCGGGCACTGGGAGAGTTGATGAGGTGCCGCGCACACCGCTTCCTTCACCGAGGGTACTCCTGTGGGCCACTCTCTAGCATTCGCACCCACTGCCTGCGAGCTGCGACAATGCCACCGTTCGCGCCGCGATCAACGCTGAGTTTGGTGCCGCGCGCCCCCTTACACTTCACCAGAGCAGCCGCCGACGCCGCAACGGCGCATGTTCTTGACTTCGCCGAGGTTGACCCGAGCAGAGTGCACGCCCGCGCCCTGGCGACCACCTTGGTGCTGCACAGAACGTGCTGCCCGTGCTGCAGCTCACTCTTTCCCAGCGGCGCTTGGGGGCAAACTCCCTCCACCCGACGGGGATTAAGCTGGCTCGAGCCTGGCGGGGCCCACCCTTGCGGCGGCCATCCAGTAGAGCCTGCCACGCCGCAGGGGGACCGAGTGGCACTAGCGCGCGGCGCAGGCCCGCAAGGGGCCTGACCTGCGCGGGGGCCCCACCAGGCCAGCGGCACCTCGGCCACTCTGCGAGGGCTCGGAGCAGCTAGAGCAGTTTCCACCCGCCAGGGTTGCGCACAGCCATCTTCCACCGCTCTTGTACCCAGCGGCCCCCGTGGCCTTCGGAGGTGCCCCCCCGAATCGCTCGGCGCCCATTCAGGGCCCAGCGGGGGCATCGCCAAGCCGTCAGGGATTGCCCTGGTGAGCCAGCGGCCACCATCACACCGCCGAGCTTTTTAGGCTCCAACACAGCAAATTCCCCGAGCGCCTCGCAGGCGACGGGCCCCCCCCTGGGGGTTCGCCCTGAATTCCGCAACGTCAGAGGGGCCACTGCGCTTAACCCGAGTGCTGACACCGACCGGATGCACGGTCCCGCTGCACGGGCCACCGTGCACTTGTCTGGAGTCGTCGGCCACAGATGTTCGAGAAGTGAGCTTTCGGCACGTTCGCCCGCGCGCCGCGGCCTGCCTGTGGACCCAGGTCCTCCATTGGGCGGGTGGCAGCAGCAGCGCCGCCAGCACGACAGCGGGCACTTTGATCCTGCTGGCTGGATCGTTTAGCGGTCAGCTCCTTGGCGCCGCTCGTTCCTGCAGGGCTGGCATCTGACAAGGCAGACCCGTCGTAATGGAAACCGTGCTACGGGTCGACTCCAAGTAACTAGTAGACCTCCCTAGGGCGCGCGCTCGAAGAACTGGCGGGGACCTGGCCGCCTCCACAGGCGAGCCAGGGCCCTCGAGCGCTAGGGTTGGGACCAGGAACCAGGCAGGAGGGGTTTTCCGTTGCGCCATGCCCACTCATGCCAGAAGACACCGTCGTTGCGAAACTCCGCGCGAGATTGCCGACCTGCCGCGCGGGCGCGAGCGTGCATCGTCGCGCAGAACATAGTCACACTGGCAGGACTCGAACCTGCAATCCCCCGCTCCGTAGGCCGATGCCTTATCCATTGGGCCACGGGGCCAGCGACCCAGTCGCATCGTGGGAAGTCTAACTGCTAGATTTTAAGCCGCGCAGCCCGATGAGCGCGCCCCGGCCAGACAGCCGCCACTGCGCCGCAATGCGCGCCCGCCCGCATGAGCGGGAGAACCCTGGTGGGCCCCAGCCGTCGCTAGAGCACACACCAGAGGGCCCGCCCCCCGAACCGCGCTGGAAGCTTGCAGACCACGAGAGCGCCCGCGGGGATCTGAGAGCACCCGAGGGGATCTTAGCGAGCCCATGACCAGCCAGAGTGCGCCCCCAGGGTCCTTGGCCCCAGGCTCCACAGAAGAGCACCGTCAACTTGTGATTTCTCTTCGCGAGTCGGGGGGCCGCCGTTTCCCGCCAAAACGCGGGGGTGGGGATCATCGGTCACAAGCGGGGTGCTGAAGCCCGTCGCGTCGTCCAGGACTTCGCCGTTGCTCGACCTCGTCGAGGCGGACGCCGCGATGCTGCTTGACCCGAGAGGCACCAGACGAGTGCTCGAGCACCTCGCGCTTGAAACCGCAGTTCCGCCCAGCACGCTAGCGCCGAGGTGCACCCCGAGGCGCTGCTTGACTCCGCCAGGCTGGATACCAGCAGGGTGGCCGAGCACGCGGCGGTGAACGCTGCGGTGCTGTTTGTCTCCGTAGAGCTGGACGCAGAGGGAGGCGTCGTCCACGGCGAAGTTGGCCACCTGGTACCGCCCGAACCTGTCGGCTTGGACGCCAGCGAGGTGTTCGAGCCTGGTTTCCTGGACCACGGGGTACTGCGCGATTTCGCAGAGCTGGGCGCCGATGGCGCCGCTCGTCTCCGCCGGGCTGGACGCCGCCCGAGTGCTGGAGCACGCGGGGCTGAGCATTGCGATGCCCCCTCCCTCCGTGGAGCTGGACGCCGATGGGGGCGCGCGACCGCGTCGGGGCGGGCGCCGCAGCACTGCTCGCATCCGCGAGCCTGGGCCGCGGGCGGTGCACAGCTGCGCTGCGCTGGACTGGCATTGCCCGGCTCCGTAGAGGTGGGCGCCGGCAGGGCGCCCGACTTTGCCGAGGTGGACCCTCTGGTGCCACTCGACTCCAGCGGGCCGGCCCCGAGCAGGCCCATCGAGCGCAATGCGCCCGAACCCATTGCTCATCTCAGCAGAGCTGGAGACCAATAGGGCGCTCGACTACGTCAAGATGTGCACCCTGGCGCTGGTCGACTGGGTCAGGCTGGATACCGGTCGTGCGCTCGGTCTCGTCGTGCTATGCGCCGTGGTGTCGCTCGACCCCCTAGACCACTACTCCGACGGGTGGCCAAATTGCGTCGAGGCGGGGCACTGCTTGACCCTGGGCGCCAGCACAGAGCACACCCCCGCAGCGCTGGGCCCCGTTGCACGGCGCGACTCCGCGGCATTGCTGATTCCTGCGAGCCAGTCTCTGCGCGAGCGCTCGGGCACAGCGAGCTCAACACCCCGTTGCCACTTGACTCTGTTGGTCTGGTCGCCGACAGTGTGATCGACCACGCCAACGCGGGCAACAACATATTGTTCGACTCCGTCCTGCCGGGCACCCCGGGGGTGCTCGAGCCCGTCGTGCTGGCCCTTGTCGGTGCCGTTCGACTCCGTTGAGCTGGGCGCCGACGGGGTGCTCGGCCGCGCCCAGGTGGACACAGCCGCACCGCGCGACCCCGTCAGGCTGGATACCCCGCGAGGGCCGAGCACGCCACGCTGGCCGCCCATGGGCCAGGCAGACCACGGGAGGCGAAACGAAGGTGGCCCCCGCGGCACGGGGGATCTCCATTCTCAAGGCCCACCCTGGAGCCCGTGCGGGGCTGCTCCTGCCTGAGAGTCCACTACTCCTGCCCGCGACAAGCCTGCGGCGCTGCTCGCCCCGACCTCGTCGAGGTCGGCAACGTCGGGGCGCTGCTCGTCTCCGCGCCGCTGGACCCCAATTGAGTGCCTCAGCAGGAGCGATGGACAGTGCAGCGCCGCCTGAAACCGCCGCGACCCTTCCGATTGTGTGATCGAGCGCGTCGCGGTGGACGCCTTAGCACTCCGTGACTGCGCCGAACTGGATACTGGCGGGGTGCCCGCGCACGCCTCGACGCGTGGCGCTGCTCGACTCCGTAGAGCCGTTCCCCTGCTCTCTTCCGTAGACTGAGAGAGTGCTCGACCACGTAGCGGTTGGCGCTGCGGCACTGCTCGGCTGTTCAGCGCAGGGCACCGCCGTGGCGTCTGGCCCTGTCGAGGCGTGCGCTGCGGTGCCGCTAGACTCCGCCGTGCCTGACCCCATCGTGCGGCTCGGGCACGCTGCTGGTGGGCACCGTGGCACTGCTCCGCACCGCGTGGCTGGGCACTGGGTGCTTGACCATGTGAGGCGGACGCTGGGGCGCTGCTTGGCTGCGTAGCTGGGCGCCCACGCGGCGCTCGACCACGTCGAGGCGCGGTGCTACTCGTCGTCGCCGCGCCGACCCCGCAGAGCCTGACACTGACCGAGTGCTCGACCCCGTCTCGGTGGACACCGTGGCATTGCTCGACTCCGCGGAGCTGGACACCGCCGCGGTGATCAACCACGCCGAGGTGAACGCTACACGATTTCTCGCCTCATCCCAGCCAGACACCAGCGGCGTGCTCGCGCGCGTCCTGCTGCATGCCGCGGCACGGCCTGACCTTGCACAGCCAGGCGCCGAAGGGATGCTCGACCGCGTCGAGGCGGACACCGTGGCACTGCTCGACTGCGCAGAGCTGGAGCCCACGCAGTGTCCGACCATGTCCAGGTGGGCACTGTGGCACTGCTCGACCATGCCGTGTCCGACGCCAGCTAAAGTGCCCGCGCACGTCGCGCTGGACTCCGTGGTGCCGCTTGACCCCGTAGAGCCAGATGCCGACGGGTGCTCAGCCACGTCGCGGTGGACACCGTGGTAGCATTGGACTACGTAGAGCTGGACACCGACTCGGTGCTCGATCGCGTCGTGGTGGACAACGCGGTGCCCCCCGACTCCGCCCCGCCAGTCCCCAGCGGGCGGGTTCGACCACGTAGTGCTGAACACCGCGGTGCTGCTTGACAGCCCCGGTCTAGGCGGACGCCGCGGCACTGCTCGCCTGCGTAAAGCTGGACACCGTCGCGCGATGTTCGAGCCCGTCGAGATGGACGCCGTGGGGCCGCTCGACTCCGCCGTGCCAGGCGCCTGCCGGGTGCCCGAGCACACCGCGCAGGCCACCGCGGTACCGCTCCACTCCATGGAGCTGGACACCGACGGGGTGCTCGACCACGTCGAGGCGGACGTCGTGGTGCTGCTCGATGACGTGGGCCATGACACCGCTGCGGCGCTCGACCACGTTGAGGCGGGCGCCGTGGTACTCGCCCGACTCCGTCGTGACAGATGCCAGCGGGGGCCTCGAACGCGTCGAGCTGGGCACCGGTTGTGCGGCTCGAATTCGCACTGCCGGACCCGGACGTGGTCCTCGACAATGCCGGGGTGACGTAGAGCTGAGCGCCCGCGCGATGCTCGACCGCGTCGAGGCGGCCACCGTGGTGCTGCTCGACTCCGCCGAGCCAGATACCAGCTGGGCGCTCGATCACGTCGTGCTGCACACCGTGGTCCTGATCGAGTCCGAAGCGCAGGGCGCCGTCGGGTGCTCGACCGCGCCGAGGTGGGCACCGTGGTACTGCTCGACGGTGACAGGCTGGACACCGATAGTTACAGTGTTCGACCACACCGAAATGGACATAGCGGCATTGCTCGACCTTGCCGCGCCCGATGCCAGCGGGCTGCTCGAGCAGGTCATGCTGGACTCTTTGGTACTACTCGACTCCATGGAAAAGGTTGCCGCCGGAGCGCTCGACCACGTCGAGGTGGACGCCGTGGTGCGGCTCGTCAGCGCGGCACTGGGCACCGACGCAGTGCGCGACCACGCCGAGGTGCGCACCGTGGTACTGCTCGACCCCGTCGTGCCAGATACCAGCGGGGTGCCTGAGCACATCGCGCCGATCGCCGAGCTATGGCCGCGCCTCACGGCCCAGCGTGGCCAGGGCCCCCGGCTCCTAGATCCGCAGCCCTTGCCCCGACGAGCCCTGACTTTCGAGCCCCGTTGTGCCCCCGCCTGTGCCCCCGAAGACCCTCGGACCTCGTGGCCGACCGCCGAGTCGACCCACGACCCGCGAGGCTCAGCCGGTGGCTGATCAAGCGCGGCTCCTCGACTCGTCGAGCCGCGGCCCGTGACCCGACTAAGTTTGGTTCTCGAGCGTCGGCCGTCGGCTCATCGAGCCACGATTCTCTGCTCGTCGGACATCCGCCGCAGACTTGAGGGTCATCGCTTTCTCGCCTGGGCGCTAGGCACGCCGTGTCTCGCTCCTCTGTTCCTCGACCCCCGGCTCGTTGAGCCGCGCGGGCCAACCGTCCAGAGATGGCTCGGCACCTTCCAGTGCCAGCTTCCAAGCAAACAGGGGACGTACCTTGCCTCGTCCAGGTCGGCCCGTGGCTTGGGCTGGAAAGAGTCGCCTTGCTCTGCCAAGCGGCGGCACAGGGCGGCCAGCCGCATGCCCGCCCCCCCCCCCAAATGCGGGCGGGCGCGGCTGTGGCCGACCAGGCAGTCCGACCAGGCAGACGCCGCCCTGCACCATCCTCGCGCCTCCAGCTCAACGCCGAGCCGCCGCTCCTTCCCAGCGCGGCGGGGCCCGACTCAGTTGCGCCAGCGCGGGGGCCACGCGCGCGACCAGCTCAGAGATCGAGCTGGTCGCACTCGGCATCGCCGCGGGACATGGCGCTGCAGCCCCAGCGGCCCTCGGCTCGGTGAGCCATACCCCTTGGCTCCTCAGGCGTCAGGCCGCGGCTCGGCGAGCCTCGCCGACGGCGCCCGAGCCGAGAGGTAGCGCATCCGCTCGCGAGCGGGACCCAACGCCCGAGCGCGCGGACCTGGGAGTTCGGGTCTATGGCGCCAGCGCTCCCTCGCCGCGCGCGTTGGCAGCGCCCCAGGTGCATGGCGCTCAGCCCGCGCTGTGGCGGCGGCTCTGCGGGGGAGGAGGGCAAGCCTCCTCTACTTCAGAGCCGCCGCGACGAAGAGGGGGCGCTGCGCCCGAAGCCGTTTTGGGCCAACTTGAGCCCGGACAGCTATGGAGGAACCTTCCCCGCCACACTCCCGAGCAAGAAGGTAGTCCGACGAGCGCGTTCATCATCATCGTCCTCTTCCTTCCTCTCCCCTACGGGGATCAGCGCAGTTGAAATATACACCGTTCCAGGGGAGCCTTCCATTTGGCTTCCATAGCTTTCCACCGCCTGGAATCTGGATGCCGCGAATGGCACCTGTCTTTCGGGCGCCGAGTCCGATGCAGCGACTAAGGGGGGCGTGTCTGTTCATGGAATATTGGTGAATAGGTTTCTGCTTGTTTTCTTCAGCATTGCGAGTGTAGCGTGACTTGTGTGTGTGTGTGCGTGTGCGTGTGTGTGTGTGTGTGTGTGTTTGTGTGCGTGGTTGTGTGTGTGCGTGCGTCCGCGCGTGAGTGTGTGGTTGTGTGTGTATGTGTGTGTGGTTGTGTGTGTGCGGCGTGTGTGTGTGTATGTGCGCGTGTGTGTGTGTGTGTGCGTGTGCGTGTTTGTGTTTGCGTATGTGTGTGTGTGTTGTGTGCGCGTACGTGGTGTGTGTGTGAATGTGTTTGTGTGTGTGGGTGTGGGTGTGGGTGTGGGTGCGGGTGTGGGTGTGGGTGTGGGTGTGGGTGTGGGTGTGGTGGTGGGTGGGTGGGTGGGTGGGTGGCGTGTGTGCGTGCGCGCGTGCGTGTGCGTGTGCGTGTGGTGTGGTGTGGTGTGTGTGGGTGTGGGTGTGGGTGTGGGTGTGGGTGTGGGTGTGGGTGTGGGTGTGGGTGTGGTGTGGGTGTGGGTGTGGGTGTGGGTGTGGGTGGGTGTGGGTGTGTGGGTGTGGGTGTGGGTGTGGGTGTGGGTGTGGGTGTGGGTGTGGGTGTGGGTGTGGGTGTGGGTGTGGGTGTGGGTGTGGGTGTGGGTGTGGGTGTGGGTGTGGGTGTGTGGGTGGGTGGGTGGGTGGGTGGGTGATCTGGGCTGCCACGCGGAGACATCAGCCACATTATTTCTTGCAGCTCATTGTTCCATTACGATATGCTCCCATGGCCAGTTTAATGGCCAACGTATTTGCCCACGGGTCTCGCTTGGATTCGACCTAAGTTCTCCCTCCCCGAGGGATGCATTCTTGGGGTGCATCCTTGGAGCCCTACACGTGATCAGTATCGACGCTACGCTGTCAGCAAGCACCCCCTTTTCCACGGTGGATCGCAGCAGGGGAGGCGCGTCGCCCGCTCCGCGAAGACGGAGCGCACGCAGTTGGACGCTATGTCCCCCAACAGTATGTAGCATTTTGGGGCGTTGGCATTCGGCGGTCAGCGCTCGCGCGGTGGAGAGGGGGCGGGAAGGCAGGCAACACGTCGAAGGAGCACAAGATGATTACGGATACGGCTGCCCTCCCCTCGGCTTTGCCTTGTTGGGTCTCCTGGGGGGTGCCTTCGTCGCCACGGCTGGACCTGCCTCGAAGTCCGGGTCAACACGCACCCCAGGAGAGGTCTGGGGAGCAGGGGTATCGGTATATCTGCTAGTCTCCCCGACATGATTGGGTCGACGCGTGGGCCTGCCAGACAACACGCGCGAACGACGGCACTGACCTGGTGCGCGCAGCAGAGTACCACGATGTGCGACTGCGCTGCGCCGTTGTGGGTAGATGGGCGGGGGAGGGAGCCTGTGTGTCCATACGGTGCAGGCCCGTCGCGCGGCAGCTCTCCGCCTGCGCTCGCGGATGTGCGGGCCGAAAGAGAATCGAGCCGGGCGAAAGGGGGGGATAGGGAAAGGGGGGGGTACGAAATTTGCCGCACGCAGCTGGTTTCGGCCCCACCGAGGGGCCCATTCCTCGATACGACGCCGCCTCTGGCGTCAGGAGGCGCCGGGAAAATCAGCTACGTGAGCTGATTCTCAACCCCCCCCTTTCCTATCTTCCCCTGTCGCCCAGCCTGGGAGAAGTCTCTCTGCGGACCCTCGTGGGTTTCGGTGGCAGGCTGCCGCGGGAGCCGCCGGCCAGAGGTCTTGCGGCGGTTGGGTGGTCCACGACGGGGAGCAGATGGGAAGGAGGAGGGGGACCAGGCGAAGGAGGAGGACGCGAGGGAGGAGGCGACGGCCTAGGATGTGCAGCAAGGGCCAGCAGCGGCAGCGGGAGCATCAGCAGCATGAGCAGTACGAGGAGGCGAAGGATAGGGAGGAGGTGGCGAGGGAGGGGGAGACAAGGCGAAGGCGGATAAAGAAGCAGGAGACAGCGTCAGGAGGAGGCATGCCCAGGCCACAGGCGAGGAGGGAGCAGGGAGGAAGTTGGGGAGAAGAGGATGAGGAGGCGCCAGGATGACGGGGAATGACGAGGAGGGGAGGGGGTTGGAGACAAGGGCATAAGTATGAGCAAGGAGGGGGAGGAAGAGTAGGATGAGATGGTAGGTGGAGTCACTCTTTGGGAGGAAGATATGGGATTCAAGGATGACGAGCAGTTGGATAAACAGGATGAGATGGAGGGAGGAGCCGCATCCGCAAGAGGCGGTGGAGCAGGAGGAGTAGGACGAGGGAGAGCAGGATACGCAGGAGGAGCAGCAGGGGGGAAGAGGTGGTGGGAGGAGGGGTAGGCGCAGGAGACGCAGGAGGAGGCAGGGAGGTGAAGGGGCGAGGCCTGCATCAAGCAGCCCTTGCGGAAGGAGACACTGAGCGTCAGAGGGAGAAAGGGGGGAGGGTAAGGCTCCAGATCTTCCACATGAGGCCCCCGAGATGAAACAGTCATTCAAACTCAATCGCTTTCCGTGAGGGCGGCATCTCGTTCTTGTTATTTGGTGTGAAGGGAGGGGTCAGGCAGTTTCAAGACATGGGAGCGATCCATTTGCATTCGCATGGAGCTCACGCGGGCCATTATCGTTGCCCGTTCAGTCAAAGCGACCGTGTTATGACACGCTAGAAAAGGGGATTCACAGGGCATCCATCCTGCTCCTCATCCTCACTCACCTCTTCCAGTTGCCCACTGAGGGGCGCGGTGCTTCTTGCCAGGTAGTTGGGCACGAGCCATGTGCAAAACACCATCAGAGAGTTCGCAAGACGCCATCATGGAATCCGAGAGTCGGGAGAGTTCGCAACACACCATCAGAGAGTTCTTGCACGCTGACATGATCCACCGCGCTCCCATTTTGGGACTGGGGCACGGGGCGGATTGGGGCGGGAGAGAGAGAGAGAGAGAGAGAGGGGAGAGAGAGAGAGAGGGGAGCGAGCAGGTTTGGCTTGAGCTCGGCGGGAACTCGGCTCGGCAGGGCTCTGCGTCGCGGTGGTCCCGAAGGCAGTCCGTGGGGCGTCTATGGATGGGAACGCTCCGGGGCCTCTGACGCTCTGAAGGGGCCGCGGGGGAGGCCTGTGGGCTTCCTGGGAGCGTCTCGCTGCGGTGTTGGGGGGTGGCGTTGGGGGCAGTCCTGGGCTGTCTTGAGTCCCAGCCCTGTGGCCAGCTTGTCTCTGTCTTGCGGCCCCTCTCCCTCCCACCCTGCATGCCTCCTCCTTCCTATCCTCGATCCCTACATCCCTGTCCTCCATCCATCCCCCCACCATCCCCCCCTCCCTTCTCCCCCTCCTCCATCCCCTCTCCTCTCCCTCCTGCCCATCCAACCTCCCCCACTTCCCTGCGTCTCGCCCCTCTCCTTCCTCCCCCTGGTCCTCCCCCCAATGCCCCTCCTCCCTCCTCCCTGTCTCCTCCCTGTACCCCTCCCCCCATTCCCCTCTCCCGCACCCTTCCCCTCCCGATACTTCCGAAATCCGTCAAACCGTTCCGAGAACACAGGAATTGGCTGAAACATGTGCTCCACAGTTCCACCATGCCTTCCTCCCTCATTCTCTGTCTCTCCCTCTTCCCCTCTTCCCCCCTCACCCTTCCCCTTCCTGATCCCCCTCTTCCCTACCTTACATGGGAACCCCGATGCCAGCCGAAAGCGCTCCACGAGCGTACGAATACTAGACACTGAGAAGACCATCGAAGGCTGACGAAGACGTCCGAGAAACCTCAGCCACACTGCTTGGAGCCCTCCGCAAGCACCGACCAGAAGAGCCCGAAGGCTTGAAACAACGGCAGAGAATATCATCCGAAGGCTTTCGACTTGGCATCGCTCGGACGTATGATTTGTTCTCGAGGGGAACCATCGAGGAGCATTTGGAGCCATCTTGTCAAACATACATGCAAGAACTCGAAACATGCAGGGGGAATGGACGTCCGAGCGATGCTGCGAGGCCTCCGGGCTGACAACAGCAACGTCTCGGCCGCGCCGACGGCGGCGGCGGCGACGGCCGACGCGGCCGCCGCGGCGGGCGCCAGCGGCCGCGGGCGGCCGAAGCGCGGCTTCCGCGGCCGGAGGGCCGCGGCGGCGGGCGGCCGAAGCGCGGCGACCCGGCGGCGGCCCCGAAGCGCAGCGGCCGCCGCCGGCCGGGTCGCCGCGGCGGGCGCCCTGCGCGCGCCGCCTCCTTCGCTCGCGGCAGGCCCGCCCGCGGGCGGCCCCGCGCGCCGGCGGGGCGCACGCGGCGCATGGCCGGGGGCCGCGCGGCGGCGGGCGCGCGGGGCGCGCGGCGGCAAGCGAGGCTGGCGGTGGCCCGCGCGCACCGGGCGGAGGCCTCTGCGGGTGGCGGCGGGCGGCCGCGGTGCAGAGGCGAAGGCCGCTTGGCATCGCTCGGACGTGTGCATTTTTCCTTCGGCGAGGGCCATCGAGGAGCATCCTTGATCATTTGGCGAAAAAGCCACGCACGAAACCAGCAAAAAAACGCAGGGAATGGACGTCCGAGCGATGGCCAGGCCGGAGGACGAGGTGAGGAGCCGAACTCTATACACCGACGCCTTGTCCAGCCCTGCTCTGAAATTCGTACAGGAAAGCGGATTTTGGTGTATGCAGGATCTTGGTGTATGCAGTTTTCGCTAATCCCCCCAGGGAAACGGGGACACGTGCATACACCACTCCACCCCGACGTCGTCCCCGACCCTGAGAAATTTTTGGTTTCGAAAACAGCCCGCCACTGGTAATGTGTATGCTCCACTTTCCGACGAGGAGGACCTCAGAGATCCGACGCCCCAACAAAAATTGAAGCAGCAATTTGGGCCGTTTCCAGCCTCCGGGGGCCCTCGCCGGGCCTTGGGAGCGTCAAGAAACCACTCGGGACGAAAAGCCCGTCCTGGGGAAGTGGTCCGGACCTCCGGGGCCCACGCATGGAACAAACTGGAGCAGCCAGATGTCTCGGCAGGTCGTGGCGGCGACGGCGAAGAGCGGGAGGGGGGGTGCAGGAGAAAAGCAGGGCGGACGGAGGGAAGGGAAGGGGTGCCGCAGCAGTGGTGGGCAATGAGGGAGGGGGGCTGGGGGGAAGGAGTGGGCGTGAGGAAGGATGGGCAGGAAGGCGAACGGAGGGCGGAGGAGGATAAGGGGAGGGTGGGAGGATGGGAGGAAAGAGCAGTTCGAAGAAGGAGGATGATTGGAATGATAATCGAGGGAGGACGATGGCTTTCAAGAGAAGGGATGAGGGAGGACGCAGGACGACCGATGAGGAATGGTTGAGATAGGAGGGCGGAGAGTGTGATGAACAAGTGGGAGGTATGGAACGTGAAGCAGGGACTAGGACGGAGGACAAATGGAGGGCAATGCGGAAAAGGAGGAGGAGTGGCACAGAGGATACAGAACGGTGCTAGAATCAGGCCCACCAAGTCATTCGGGAGGTGTACGTGCCCAGTGGCCAGTTGGCTCAAATGTTATGAGCCAGTAGATGACGGCTAGCGGCGTTTACAAAATGTTGGAATTGATTATTGAATCGCTTCGCTCAATCCGCCGGCCCTGGAGCCCTCTTTAGGGCGTCTTGGGGGACTCTTGGGGACCTCTTGGGATTCTCTTGGGGCTCCTCGGCGGCGTCTTGGGGCCCCCAGGGTCTCTTGGGGGGCTTTTGGAGACCTCTTGGGGCGGGAGGGGGAGTAGTCGATGGCGGCTCCCCCCTCGGAGGCCACGATCCTCGTGAGGGGTGTCGAGAAATGGCCCTCCCCTGGAGTGTTCTGGGGGCTTCTCCCGGGCTCTTGTCGGGGTACTTTTCGTCCGGGGGCCCCCAGGGGCCGCTCCGCGCGCGCGAACTAGAAATATTGTTAACCAGTTACCGGAGATCTTAGCACGCCTCTGGCCCGTTGGGCCGGCGAATTTGTTGCGGTAGCGTTCCCACAGGGATCCAGTTGAAAATAATTGTTCTGGAATATTTGCAGAAGGGGCACATGGATGCAGACGAAGCAGGACGGAGGAAAAGAGATTGAGTAAGGGGACAGGCGTAATGAGAAGGGATTCTGATACATTGCAATTGCTCCACGCTTCGCGTATCTCCATCAGCCCGTTCAGGAACCCTCCCCATGGGAGTTGCGGGAGAAGGGACAAATATAGACACATTTAGTGAACCAAAGCGGGCAACCAGGGTGAACAGAGAGATCTCTGGGAGCAAGGGGGTGGCCTTGGAGGGCCTCTTGGGGTCATTTTGGAGAGCATCGATCAAAAAAGGAGGGGTAATCGATTTCGCCCCCCACCCCACCCTCTCAGGAGCCTTCGAAATCACCTCTTGGAGCCCTCTTGGGGCTTTTTGGTGGGATATTGTGGTCCCCTTGAGGCTTTTTTGGGGGGGGTTCTTCAGGCCCTCTTGGGGCTGTCTTGGGGCCCTCTTGGGATCCCTTGCGTGTTTCCGGGGGCCATCTTGGAGGCCACCGATAAAAGGGGGTCCCGACCTAGTTATGACGATGCGGGTTCCCCCTTTCCCTTCAGCCCTCTAACCCTCCCGCTCCCGCCCCTCCCTCCATCCCGGCGCCGCGGCGCCGTCGTCGTCGTTGTCGTTGTCGTCTTCTGCTCCGTTATCCCGCTCGCTCTTTGGACCGTTTCGGAGACGTCGTGGGGGTTTCGCAGCGGCTTCCCTGTCCGAAATGGCCCACGGAGGCCCGCCCGCGCCGAAATGACGCCCCAGGACGCCCAGAGGAGGTTTCAGAACAGCCCAGGGCGCCTGCAAAACGCCACGAAAAGCCCCTGCAACCTTCCCAAAAGCGACTCAAGACGGCCCATGAGGGCCCCGAGACCACGCAATTGGACCGCGCGACTGCCCGAGAGCGCCCCGCGAGGCTCCCAAGACGGCGCCCGCGGGGTCCCGATGCACCCCCACGACCACCTACTCACGCCCAGAGCCCCCCATGACGGGCCACAAAAGTTCCACAAAGGAGGAACAAGAATTTCGATTGTGATGACGATGACGATGACGATGATTACGTTCATGATGATGATGATGATGATGATGATGATGATGATGATGATGATGATGATGATGATGACGACCATGATGGCCATGATGGCCATGATGATGATGATGATTATGATGGACATGCCCGCCAACCCTCATTTCACGTGCTCCAAAAGCGCCCTTCCGAAACACGTAGACTTACCGTGGCGGTGACGATGGCGATGACGAAGACGATTGCGAATATGACGATGAGGATTACGATACCGACGGCGATCATTACGATACCGACGACGATGGCGATGGTGTAGAAGATTTTGGTGACGCTGATGATGATGATGCTTTTGCACATAAGGACCCTTTTTTCTGAACACGTACAATCACGATGATCATGGCGATGACGATGGCAAAGGCGATGTTGGTGATATGTTCACCATGGTGATGACGATGATGATAATGGTGATGATGACAATAGGAATGTCCGCCAGCCCCCATGAGGCGTGCTCCGAAATTCCTCTCGGGAGCACGTAAATTTACGATGGCGATGACGACAATGATGGCGATGATGATGTTGGGGATGACGGTGACGACGGCGATCCCGAAGGTGGCAGATGCTAGTGACGACAAGAGATGATAACGTCCCTGGTGATGCGGATGATGCACATGAGAAGACCGTGATGGTGACGAGAATTAC